ATGCAAACCATAACTGTGGATTGGTAGAGGCTGGAAAACGGTACTTGGCATCAGTTTGATGTCTGGCAGAACAGAGGGGTTGCTAGGTCTTTATTCTGACCCAGTGCAGTCATTTGCAGGTTTTTGCTAACTTGATCAATTCATTTACCTAATGGCCCTTCAAGGGTTTATTACTTCTCTCACATAGTCCTCTGGAATAAATAAGAAAACCAGCGTGATTGCAGATGGAAAACTACTAGGAATACCTAAATGATTACATCAGTATTCTTTTTTAGAAAGAAAACGTGTACTTCCATTTCCTAATGATGTACAAAAGCCTTAGAACAATTTTTAGCATTATGTAGTGTAATATTTTGCCATACTGGAACACAGTTGTTGGAATGTTGGTTGCCATTGGTTTTTCTGAGAAATTGCATTAAATTTCCAGTAAGAATGGCTAACTGGAGTTGAAACTCAATGGACTTTTGTTTTCCATGGCTTTTCAAAGTGAGTCGTTGTCTTTCAGGATGCTATAGAAAACAAACTGGATTCAAAAGAGTGGCCTTATTGTTCCCAGTGTCCTCCTACCTGGAATGGCTCAGGAATAGTAAGGTAAACTAATTTTTTCAGAAGTAAATTTACCTATTTCTTGACGTTTCTGTCAAATATGTTGCAAGGTACTATATGCAAGCTGATTTTATAAGTGTAAAAATTCATATAAGCTAGTACTTGAAGTGTAAAACTCCTTTTTTTTTTTTTTTTTTTTTTGACTCATCTAAAACTTGATTGTTAATGTAGTAACTCTCCTTAGCCTTGGGTAGTTTATTATTTAGACTGACTTTATTTAGCTTTTTTTGCCTCACATTTAGAAATGCATTTCCATGTTCCCAGTTAGAGAAGATTGAATCACTTTTAGTAGGTTAGTGTGAAGTTTTAATAATGGATGATCATACTGTGACTTAAGCATAATGAATTCTTTTCACTGCTTCTGACAGTTACTTCTGCAATGGTGTTTGGTGGCATCGTTCTTGAAAATAATGCCTCGAGTTTCATATTCAACCTCTGCTGCTTATTTGCATGATTACAATATGTAACTGAACCCTGTTATAGGGGTTGTTTGCTCAGCAGCACTGAGAGGGAATGATGGATTTTTTTCTAGCTTAGTAAATTGTACTTTTCTGCTTTGTCCTAGTAGTTCTTGAATTTCCAGGCTGGTATCTGCCAACTTGACGCTGTTACCACTTCTAGTAGTATTAATTACCTCTTCTCAGCTGTGTCACCATTTAATAAGTGTTCCTACTGTTGAAGAAATGGATTTTTTTTTTGTTCATAATACTAATTAGATGCTGGAATTCATAGGGAGTGAAGCATGACACTTATACTAGGAGTTGAGTACTCACTGGAATTTGTGTCTTATATGAGACAAGGCACAAGATACACAGTCTTAGGAAAATAGTTCTGTTTCCTCCACTGTTTATCACTTTGCTGGTGTGTCCTTATGTTCCTGGACTTTTACTAGAATGATCAGTGCAAGGAAATAATCCAGTCATAGAATGGCTTAGGTTGGAAGGGACTGTAAAAATCATCTAGTTCTAACCTCCACATAGTCCACCCTCCAAATCCACAGCTTTCCAGTTCAGAGATAAGGATGTGATGCAGGACGATGGCTATGATAAACATAGCCCATAAATCAAATCCCTCTGCACTGTAACCACTTCTTTGTCTTATAAGCTGATGAAATTGGATGATAGTTTATGCAACCTAGCAAAGAGATTGAGTGCTGATGGTGTAATTTGAATCTACTATTAGTGTTTGTATACATATATAAATTGCAGAATATGTTTTCAGTGCTTTGGTTTTTCTTTTCCTAGATTTCTGAATCTTCCTTGATAACAGACAAATATTCTTAGTTTTATTCTGCTCACAGAGACTGTAAGACTTAGGATTTTAGCTTTTTCAAATGAACTTTGAAAGCTGCCACTGTAACTGGTAGCAGGCAGAACTAAGCTTCTTAGTAGAGAAGCAATGAGGGTTTTGCTTTGTATTTATTTTCCCTTTTGATAGTAGAATAGCTTCTGTGTAATGTTCTAACTTACTGCTGTAGTTAACAATTGATCTGAATTTTGCTGTATGAGCTGTTGCTGCTGTTAAGTGTATCATTTTTACAGACAGATAGATCATTACAACTGTGTAAATGTTGTGGAATGCATTGCAGTGCTCGCCAGAAGCCTAAAGCTAGCTATCCAGATGAGCGAAGGAGTAAAGCCAGATTGATTTTGTTTGTGATTGGAGGAATTACGTACTCGGAGATGCGCTGCGCTTATGAAGTTTCTCAAGCCTTCAAGTCTTGTGAAGTTATCATTGGTAAGCCTAGCTTGGGGAAGGGGAGGGGTGGTAAGCAGTGATTTACTTCAAGCACAAGTATGTAGTTGTGAAATGCTTTCCTGTTAAAAACAGGAGCTTTTTTTTTTCACTGGAAGTTGATTCTGCTAAGTAATGCTACAGCCAATATATTATTTTAAACTAGACATTTAAACTGAAAAGTTACTTCTATCTTAGAATGATTGAAGATCGGGTTTTTCTTTCACAATAAAAATGGATAAATTATTATGGGTAAATTATTTTTGAAAACTATGGAAAAATCATCATGAATTATCAGAAGAAATATATTATGATAGTATTGTAGCCTGATGTATAGCAAAAATGATTAAATGGACTTATACAGCTGCACTTGCATATTACTGCAATTTCTGTGATGTTTCTGTGTAAAACTACTGTTCATGATAATGTAGTGCAGGTATTTTATTGATTTTTTTTTTTTTTAGGAGAAAGCCTGTCACTAACTCTGCCTCTGACAGAATGGGCAGATTTCCTGCAGTCTGTTGGATAGAGCTGGGGGGGGGGGAGGAGGGGGTGGCAGGTTAAAGCCAGCGGTTCAAACCACTCAGAGTAGAGACTTGAAACTGGTGTCCAAACTAAGAGTTGTAAGTTTGCAGTGTTTGCCACCTCCTCTTCGCTTCTCCAGTCTCTCCTGGTCCTGAAATACTGGCAGGCTTCATTTAAGGGCAAGGGGCAGAGTGTCAAGAGACATGGCTTTCTTCTCAATACCTTTGGTGTGTGGAAGAGAGATGCTACCTAATCATGACAGTTTAATTGTTCTGATGCTTTATAGGACACATAAAAACGTTTTGAACTGTTGTGTCTTTTTCTGTACCTGGTCATCAGAAAAGTACAAGTGTATTATCTTTTAGCTGATACTTATATGTATATATTTGTGTGTATAATATTTTGCTATGTATGTATTTGTTACAAAGCTGTGGTTTTTACTATATATTTTTTAAGAGGGAATGATCGTAAATCATACTTGCATCAGACTGAAATTGCTGTTTTGTCAGGTTCTACGCATGTTTTGACTCCTAGAAGACTACTGGATGAAGTCAAGAGCCTTAATAAACCAAAGGATACAGTCTGCATTAAGGATGAGTAGGAATGGGCGTGATGCTTTAGGCATCAAACAGTGTAGAACATGTACATATTCTCACACTGCTGGCTCTTCCAGTGTAGTGGGACACAGTATGTTTCTGACTAATTGAATGTCACTTTAAATTATGAAGTTGCTGCTTTTTTGGGGGGATAGTAGAAGGCAGAAGGGGAAAAAATAATCAGGGTGTGCTTTTTGAGAAGGTTACATTCATTCCTAATAAATTATATGAAAGTTATTCAGATTATATATGAACTGTAGTTGTTTTTGAAAACTGTGAAGCATTTTTCTAAGAGTTAGTTGAATTAAAAAGGGTCCAGGCACTTAAAGGTGATGTCTCTGATGTTGTCTCTGTAAAATAACTCATTGGAAACATTAACTGCATGTCATTGTTAAAATACTTTTTTTTTTTTCAGATGGTAGTGGGTAAGGTAGAAATATAATCATGGACATATCAACCAGTTCTGATTTCAATAAATAGCTTTGGATAAATGCAGTTAATTGTGGACTGAACTGCGCTGTGTATTCCAGTATGTGCAGGAATTATTTCTAAAGCTTCTCAAATACAATTTCTTATAAACTCCTTTTTTGTGTCTACGTAGTCCATCTATTTAAGAAAAAAAATTCCCTATGACAGTATTCTACTGGTTCCCAAACAATGTAAAAAAATAATAATAATAAAATAAAAAAATTAACGAAGCTTAAATTTCTTGGGGAGAGGGGGAAGAGAGAAGAGGAAAAGAAGGGAAAGTAGATGGTTACTCTTTGTCAGCACTTGATTTTTTTTTTTTTTTTTTTAATAAAGGAGCAAACTATCATCACAACATGATCTATTCAGAGAATTTACTGTTCTCTTCTTTGTCTGTATATGTTTGTGTTGAAGTGGATCAAATAAATTGTATTCTGTAATACTGCTAATGTTTGGTTGTATTAAAAAGTTATTTAAGTGCAAATTTAATAACCTTTTAAAGGGATAATATTGTATTGAGATGCACTGATACACTAATTTGTTAAATGAGAAGTGTCATAATGTGACCTAACGTATGACTTAGGTTTCAATATACGTTTTCTCCAGTCTGTAAGGGTATTCACTTCTGGTTTTGCAAAAAGATTTGGTTTGTTGTCCTCGGGCTAACTAGTGGGTTAAGAGAATGTATTTGCTAGTTAAGTTCATTCAAAGTTAATTAAAAGGTGCAGATTGTTTTTGTTTTTTTTTTTTCTTTCCCCTCCTTTAAAGTGGTTTTTCAATTTTTTTTTTTTTTTTTTTTTTTTAAAAAAAAGGGAATTTAAAAGCAATAAAAGCAGAACAAAATAATATCAGAATGTCCTACTTACGGACCAAACTGACAAGTTGTAGAAAACCCATTTTATTTACATTGATTTATTGCATAAAGAAATATCAATTGCTAATGCTAAACTAAGTCTCCTTATTCAGCATCTAGACTTTGTCCAAGTGAGAGGAAATCAGGCTGAGAGTGGAGGCTGTTCAGCCTGGAGAAGAGAGGCCTGGTAGTGGCCTTTCAGTAAAGCAGGGCTGGAAAAAAGAAGGGGACAGATTCTTTAGCAGAGTCTGTTGTGACAGGATGGGGGAAATGGTTTCAAACTAAAGAAGCGAGGATTTAGATGTAAGAAAAAAGTCCTTTACAGTATGGGTAGTGAAACGTTGGAACAGGTTGCCCTGAGAAGTGGTGGATGCCTTGTCCTCGGGATGTTCAAGGTCAGGCTGCACTGGGCACTGAAAACCTGATGGAACTGTGGGTATGCCTTCACACTCATGAGGGTTGGACTAGATGATCTTTAAAGGTCCCTTCTAATTCAAATGATTCTATGATATATTTTGGATTTGCTTCAGTGAATAGCATATCTGATACGTGCACAGCTGTTACCTGTCTGCTTGCTTTTAATTGCTACAGTTAAATGGATTTCATTAGAAAAATCATAGAATGGTTTTTAAAAATTCTGTAGCCTACATCATCAGCTAGAAATCTCAGTCACATATATCAGACAATGTGAGGCCATGTGAGTGAAGCAACAGTTCAACTGTTAGGAACAGGCAAACAACCAATGGCATTACTCAGTTTCTGAGACATGCAAGGATCTCTCTTAAACAAAACACTCTCAATGTAGGGCACTCCAGAAATAATTATATGCTTTAAATATGACTCGATATACTAGCATCCTGCTTGCAGCTGCAGATCCTGCTTCTATTTGTTGGTGTGGTCAAGCAGCTACTTTTCAGGTGCGAAACGCAAATGTACGTTGGAGTGAATGAAACTCATTCTGCTCTTTGGGGGTGGAGGGAAATAGAAATTAAAAAAAATTAACTTTGCTTGATAAGCCAGTTTTTATGAAGCTACCTGAAATGGATGCCTAACGAATGCTTAGGAAAGGCAGTTGTAAGTAATAACAGGGGCCAGCCAAAACATCAAAGACTTCAATAGATAAGCAATTCATTTTCTAGTTCAGACACTGAGTATAAACATGTGGAATACCAGTATGTACCAGTTAGTACCGACAATCATAGAACTAAAGCTAGCTGATCTTCTAATCTTTGTCATTTTATATTTGTAGAGATGTTTATTATTTATAACCAGCAAAAAAATGTAGCATCTGAAACTAGATGGTTAAAGCTGTTTTCTTCTAGCTTTAGCTAGATCTTCTGAAATTGCTTGCACCATTTTTTCTGTAGCTTTCTTCAAACTGTTTGCTGTCTGTATTGCATGATCCAGAGTAGAATTTAAAATCTGTTGGAAGCAGTAAAATACAGCTTTGCTGAGGTAGGTATAGAAAAGGAAGTGCTGTGTAGTTAAGGTTCTCTGTAGCTTTTTCAGCATACCTACTTGGAATACACGTTGAGAAGTAAAACATATTTGAAGGCTACTCAAGGATTTAAGTTGAAGCATTTGTTACTTATTTCTCTTTGTGTAATCCTGCAGTGTTGAAATGAAACCACAGGACAAAAAGCTCTTGTAATGGAGGGAGAGTAAAGATGGCTCAGAGCTGTTAAGGCAGTTTAACCTACAGATTCTGCAATTGTTCACATTTGAGAAACACAGTGTGTTATATACATGTGTGTATTAACACACAATGTGTTAATATACAAAAAATTATTACTATACTGCATACGCAATACTAAAATGATTTTCCGTATTCACTTAAGGAGCTCTACCTTATACTAACCTTCATATGAATGTAGTGCATTAGATCTGATTTTGAAGTGGCACTGAAAACTTTCTCACTTCCTCATCCTGCCCCATAGTGGACTAGACAAACTTAGACTGAGATAATCAGTGTGCTAAGAAGGGGGATGTGCAACAGTGCCATGATATGGGGGTATGTATTTTTTTGATTAGCTGTAGGGTTTCTAATTTTCACTCTCAAGTCTTACGTTTATGTTGAAGTCTTTGGCAGTTCTGTTTCTGATGATCGCAGATGTGTTTCGGGCAGACTTCTTGCTGGGTAAGCATTAATGCAAAAGGATTATTTGATCATCTGTGTTTGAATACAAGGGAAAACTGTAAATTTGATAATTTTGATAACCTGTATTTTCAAGTCTCTTTTACAGTGACTAAATTATAAAATTGCAGCTGATTATAATCTGTATTGCAGTAAAACAAAATAGATTCCAGAATGCAGTCAGGAAATCTCTCATAAAACATCATTTTCTTGGTGCTGTAACTTCTCTGAGTAGTCTGTGCCACAGATTCTCAAGTGCGACCACTATACTTGCAGGAAATTACTGTTATTTGACAAAGCTGGTAAAGCTTACGGTCACAGAATTTGTTTCAGTTCGTGTAGTCTGTGCTATGGTGAAGAATCCATTTTATTTCTCAGATTCTATGAATAATTGTATGTTAAGGATTATTAAATGTAGCACTTGGACATATTTGTAGAGGTTTTTATTATTCTAGGGGTCTGTGAATGGGAATAGTTATATAATAAGAATTACTTTTTCTCAAGATGGAGAAATATGTATGTCAGCTGAAGCTTGATTCATTAAACTACAAAGATAGAAGAACTACTCAGGTCATTATTTACATGATGGTATTTCATTACTGAATCAAATTGTAATGCGTATAGCACGCTCTACAGAAGGTAAGCCATTGCCCCTGCTTATGATATGATGACTTTTTCAGTGCTGAACCTTTAATAATGGCATTTCTTGTTATCATGCATGCACACATGCATTTGTTGTAGCTTACCTTTCATAAAGTCTGTTGACAGGTTCAGGTGGCTGTTGATTTGTTTGAGCCTTTTGACTGGGGATTCTCTTCTGCGAATAAGCTTTCAACGTTGAAGCCATGTGTAGAAATAAAAGAAAGAGGAATGTTGTATACATTTAGCATCTTTCTCTGAGCAGTGTAAAACTTAATTTCACGAGGCTACTGAACAAAAATCTGAACATATTAAGGATTTATCTAAATGAGACTAAAATATTTCTTTGTGTTCCCTTTTTGGGTTGAGTTTAGCTCTTGAACGAGTGATGCATAGAATTGTATTACATTTCTTAACAGTGAAAGGCCCCAGGAAGAAAGTGTTGCATAATGGCATTATTAGGACATCAGTCCCAATAATGATATAAGTGCCACTTTGATGCAGTGTTTTTTTGTCTTAATAGAGAAATAGCTAACCTGTACTTCCTGCTCGCTGTTGAACAGTAGATCAATTCAGTTGATCTACCTTCAACTGAAGGTTGGTACTACCTTCAATTTATTCCTACAGTGCAAGGAGTCTAAGAGAGAAGTGACTTTAAAAACTACATGTTCAATATGTTTAAAAAACCAGGCAATCCTTGACTTTGCTGTATGTCACATAGTGCAGAGCTGAGCAGGTATTCCCTTTTAATACTTGTTTATAGTATGTACAACCAGGAATGAAAAGGTTGGTGTAATTAGGGCCAGTTTTAATATTCTTCTATGTGGCACTGGATAAGTGGAGGTGATACTGTTTACAGTGAAATATGGGACTTGTCAAAGAGCAGTGCAGAGGTGGTAGTTGTTGTGCATAGGGAATTAAACTCAGGTAGGTGTGTAAATGTTGGATTTGCTCGTTTCAGCCCAGGATCTGTAGTCATTTACTGTTCAGCTGAAGTGCTGTGGCTTGCTCATACTAAATGGAATTTAGCCTGATACATGCACAATACAGCTTTTTTTGCTTTTGAGAATTTGACTCGTAATTGAAAATTATTTCAGTAATGTGTCATACTTACAAGTTGAACCAGAGTTTTTATTTCTACGTGGAGTGCAAGACTGAACAGATTCCTTGTAGTTCCTGAGTTTAAATGGATTTTGGCTTTCTCTGGAGCATCTGCATTTAAATCCTGAAACAAAGACAAATCATTGAACAATTGGAACAATGCAAAGAGGAAAACTTGGTGTCGATTTGGGTATTTTTGAAATCATTATACCTTTTCTCTCTCTATGTAGCCTTGCATGGAGAATTTGGTGACTTTCACATTTCATAAATTCATCGCTTTGTGAACCATAAGAATGGTAGGCTGAGATGGCTTCTGAATCATTGTCTAAAATCCCAAAACACATGAAAAATATCTGAAAAACTAGAAATCTTGGCTTGTGTATTTAAGTCATTATTGAACTTCAGCTAAATAATTTCCAAGGCCTTCACAGTCAGTAATAGTTCTGCAGTTTTAGGTACTTTTCCATTCATTTTACAGGTGTGTCTGAGCTGTTAAGAATGGCTTTCAGCTCTAACTGTAAGCCTCAAATGCACTTTGTACTGTTCTTTTCAGTACTACAAGTGTTTAAAAACAAACAAACAAAAAACAACACAACAACAAAACAAAAACAATGAAATGCTCCCCTTTTCCTGTCCTTAGGTTTTAGCTCTGGAGGTTCAAATAGCTGACATGTGAAGTATTATACAAACAAGGCAGCCTAAGAACATGATAGAAGCTGGGATAGCAGCTGTTTTACATACTAACCAAATCGGTGCTAAGAATAGAAGGCCCTCTGTATTATATTAAGGGAAAGGACACCATGAGAAATCAAGGATGAAAGGTAGGCCCAAAGCATAAGCAAACCACATGTATTCAAACTTAAATATAAGACACTTCATACTACTCTTCTAGGTTGTTGAATATTAACAGCTTTGGAGTATTCTGCACAGGAAAAGTGAAGTTGCTGTAAGAGAAACAAATGTCTAGAGATTCTTAGTGAATCTCCAAGAACTGGGATCTTCAATGATTTGACAGCTAACTTAATTAGGCTTTAAATAGCCAGTAAGGGCTCTAGTTTGGATTAGGTGAAATCATGTTGTTAGAAACTGTCCTGAGGAAGGAGAACACATACAGTCTTTTGTCTCCATCCTGAGCGGAACAGAGGTTTGGGAAAACCTTTCATTTAGTTTTTATGCAGAATAAGAAAGCTGTATCCTGAAACTGAAAGTGGATATTGAAACTTCATGTTAACACTCCAGATTTCAGGTCTTCTAGCATATGATATAAATGCATCTGATAAGGAGAAAAAGCACTATCAAAGCACAGCGTGCATGTCAGTATTATGCTTTGGAAGACGTCAGTCTTCAAAAAAGCATCTAAAAAGATGGGTTAGAATTATAGAGTAATTCCATTTGGAAAGTATTTCTGGAGATGGTCTGGTCCAATCCCTCCTCAAAGCAGGACCAACCTATATCAAATAGCTTAGGACACCTCTGTTAAGTTTTCAGTATCTCTGAGGATGGAGATAATACATCCTCTCAGGGGTGAACTGTTGTAGTATCTGATTCTAACCAAATGTAAAACCTCTTTTGCTTGTATTTTGCTGCTAATTTCATTGTAGCTTGTCTGCCACTAAGGCCAGTGAGTGGCTAAGTGGGTTTCATGTGATCTCCTTTATGGTCTCCTTTTTATTCTTAGTATCTTGTTACTGCTTAGCATAGTACATGTGTTGGAATTCCAAAATAATTTTCATGGTGCTTAGGTGTAACAGGAGTGGATTGTTTAACAAGACTGAATAGTAGGTATAAACACAGTTCTGATGTTGGTGTCCCATTGCTACTTACTCAGATTTTTATCTGATAAATCGGTCGGTTTTCTTAGAATGAAGATTGTATGTGTTCCAGTTTTCCTTTCCATTATGTTATTTCTTTGAGCATGAAAACAGAATGATATTTCAGTTAGATTATGATATCTTTATGATAAGCCTTACCGATGTATTAGTGTTTGGCCACTTAACTGAGAAGAAAATAGATTTACTATAGAAAGAACTCTTATCTTTTCATCAACCCAAAAAGGTGTTAAGTGGAAGCTTAAATTAAAGAATAATCACATAACAATGACTTTGTCAAAGGACATGTTCTGACAGAAAGACTGCCTTATCAGAGCTGTTCAGCACACCTTAAAATTTTATTTTAAAATAATAAGCACCTTACTGAGAAACAATGGAGTATAAAGTTCTGTGTATTTAGAGATGCTTACATATGCTGTATCAAAATATTATCACTGGTAAGGATGATATGGTTTCTTTGTAACTGAGCTATTAAGGTTTCAGTTTTGCAGCCTTTGGGGAATTAGTCGAATACTTGTGATGTACTTTCTGTCAAAACAGGACTAAGGATCATTGTTTGCAGTATTTTATATACATGTTTTCACTGTAGGGAATGTAGTGTCAGCAAATTTATTGGCCAGCTTTTCTTATGTACTCATGGAAACAGACTGGAAGATTGAGCATTTCTTAAATGACAGGGAGAAGGAAGCAAGCTAGGTGAATTTTATTAGATAAATATTAGTATTTATTCAGTAAATACTCCGTCAGCATTTTTCTCCCATACTTGCCTTCTTTCAGCATACTAACATGATGATTATTATGTTCTGCACTGAATGTTGTTATGAGATCTGACTTTGGATGGAGACTTGATTTGCGGGAAGTTCTAAAGCCCAACTGAGCCATATGGAACTATTTTAGCACCTTGATGAATCTGTAAATGAAACTTGACAGATAGACCCTTGCACTTGAAATATATATGGAGGTACTAATATGCTCTCCTTTCAAGACTACCAGATTAGTTCATTACAAATATTTGAGGTTATTACTGTTGTTGCTTGAATGTTTTGTGGTCATCCATCACTGAAAAAAGAGTAAACTTATTTCCACGCTTTATTAAAGTAAGCGTGTGTTATTTAAGTTTTATACCACTTAGATGAGCTATTACAATATGGAAAATAATCCTGTCTTTAAAAAAAGAGGGGTGTTTTTCCAATTCTCCAGTGGTCTGATATATCTCATACGTGATTAACTGGTAATGATTTAGAAAACAGATCATCCTTGCATTTCATACATATCAGAAGAATTTTCAGTGTAGTGAGCAGAGTCCAGAATAGAGGCACACTGCACATGCATGTATCAGTTCATTTAGCTGAAGAGAAGTGTCTGTACCTAGCCAAAACATTTAATATGCTTACCCTTTCATACTCTCTTCACTGGCACTATCTTTCTGACTTAATGTACCCTGAGTATGGAATCCAAGACCTTCCGCCTCATATTTTCCTTCAGGTGAAAAGAATCTCTGTTGTGCACAGACAGTAAAACAAACTGATGTTTTGTTTATATTACTGTGTACTCATCACACAGTGTGAACAGCAGCATCAAGTGTACATTAAATCTGTACAGCTTCTAGTTGTCTAGTTGCCATCAAATCTACAGTTTGGTCTGTTACCATTCTAATGGTAAAGGAAATTGGACAACTTATCAATACTTCTTAACCTGTAAAGTTGGAATACAAGATATTGTCATGTAGTGTTGAAGAAGGTTAACACATTATCTACTTCCATTATTGCCTTAAAATTGAAAGCTTTTGTAGGCAAGCAATTGCCTGTATGTTGTTGCCTTCTGAACTAGTAATAAAAGCAGGCTAGTAAACACAGCTAATCATCACATAGTTCAAAAAATATTCAGTGTGCCTTCAATTTTTCTTTCAAAATCAATACAAGTTATACAACTGTAGTACCTCAAAAGGTGAGTTTTCATGTTGTGCAAAAACTAAATGGAAAAATACTATGCTTTCATATTACATAAATATATGATATTATACTATATTATATATTATTATTTCAGAATATTATTATGTTCATCTAAACTAGAATGAACATGAAAACTTCTCATACCATTTCATGTGAAGAATACTTGCTTGCTAGCAGACAACTTTTTCCCAGAGGATCCATTTCTTTCCCATAAGTTGATTCGGCTCTCTTCTGTAACCTTAATTGGTTAAGAGGAAAACATTTGATCTGATCTCATAAAATACGTGCAAGGGAGTACAGATACTCTAGAGTTGTTTGAAGTTTTGATGGTTAATTATGTAAACATCTGCACTCTTTGTAGTTAAAAATACTACACAAATGTAAGCAAACATTTTGTACTGGTATTGTATTGTATCTGATAGTCACTCATATCTTGAATCAGTGCGGTTGCAATCAATTTTATACAGAGGTATGATTTGACTCTTAGCAAAATGATGGCAGTAGTGTTTTGGCTTTGGAGTAGGAGTGCCAGCCTGGAAGGAGGTTTTAAGGGTTTTCTGAGAAGCTGAGTCTGTGAGCATTCTACCTGCTTTCAGATATTCCAGGCACCCTAACTTTCTGTACTCAGCAAATGGTTGCAGTACCATTTTTTGTGATAATTCCAGTAGTTGTGTAAGTTTTATGCTTACGTGTGAATACGAAGATTGCATCTGTCACACTGCAAAGAGAAGTGGGCATTTCTCTGTGGAGTTATGGAACTTGTCTGGCTTGTATTTTCTCCTTCATTGTTCTTGCTAAGAAATGTATTTTCTTCAGGGGAATCAGCAATACTGGAAAGTACTGAGCTCTGTATAAAGTAACCCCAGGATAGCAGTTTTCAGTCAGAGTATTTCAAGTAGATGACTTGTACCAGCCTGCGTTTTCTAATTATCTTTTACTTGAGATGCAGAGAAAAATGACTTCTAAAATACGGAGAATGAAAGCATATGAAGATATTTATCTTTTGTTCTGTGGAGAACTAATTCAATTTTTTCCATGTATTTATGATCCAGGACAAAATATTACTATATTTAACAGTAAACTCAGTTTTCTGTAGCAGAATGCTTAGTCTTCCAGCAGTTCTGCAGTTAAAGAATCTTGGACAAAGTAATCGTTCTTCCAGCTGAATTATAATAATGAATTTTCAATACCAGAAAGCTCTGTAAAACAAAATAATTGCTCATTTTCTTACTCAGAAATGAATGTTTTTGAAGCTAGCACTTAGATTACTCAGTGCAGCTGTGTTCATACTAAAGTTTTTTTTACAGTTAATGAAAAATTAAGCTACAATTTCATGGAAAAAACCTTTTCTTGAAGTAACATGCTATTCAAAAGCATCATGGTTTTACAAATGTTAGAGGAGAATATGCGATAACCACTCTGTTTTTCTTGAATAAAATGGAATAATGCAGTCTTTAAATGATAAGACTCAGTTACCTCCCAAAGAGAATATGAGGAATGGGCAGATCCACAGGAACTGGGTGAAGGAGCCCATTTGTGCCTGCTGTCATCTGCTAGTTCTTTGATGTCTTCAAGCATCATGCCAAGTCTAAATATTTCCCCTTCTACCTTTCTAAAATCAATCACAATACACAGCTAGTGAAAATTCTGTTTCTTACTATGATGACTGTATTTGGCATTGCAATAAACAGTTCACAGAGGGAAGAAAGAAATGGAGTTCACTGAGTCCCTTTTAAATGCTTGAATTAGTCAAATAGCTACCATTATTATAACAAGGATATGTAAAGCATGAGATGAATTTTGGCCAAGTAACGTCGAGCTTATCCTGTGTGATATTAAAATAATGTTTTCACCTCTGAAAAGTGTGACTGATAAAGTAATAGTGGTTAGATGCTCCAAAATACGGAAAATACACTGATGAAGTACTTAGCATTTATCTTCAAACCTTTTGGGGTCAAATTCTCCAATGTTGACAGACTTGTCCTTGTAGTACTGCAGCTGTAAGTTACGGTGCTCCTCTCTAGCAGTTAAATAATTCCTTTCCAAGGCTTCAAGGTATCTTTTCAGTTGATTTAATGCCTTCACCAATAACAGTTCAAAAGTAAATGATGTTATCATTAACAAGATATTGTAATATCTACAAATGCTATGTAAGACAGATGATATTTGCAGTGATATTAGTAAGAATTCTGCTGCTGCTCTGAATTGTATCTATTATACCTATCAGTACGCTGTGCTGCTTGGTCATTTAGAGGTAAAATACTAAATAACCCTTCAGACACACTACCCTGCAAATCACAATTAATGATTTCTATGCCAATTTAAGGCCTTTCACTAACTACTTCCTAACTGTAGTCTTTAATTTTAAAGAACTGAGCCACTTACTGAGCTCCTTTATTCTTCTTCTTAACCTCAGTTTAAGTCTGAGATTCAGAACAAATTATTTTCAAATGCCTGTTTGAGAAAAACACTGAATGTATTGCCAGAAAATCTCAAGTCTAGCCAATTAAAGTACACTTCAGGTAACTGTAAAGACATTAGTTTACCAGATAATCATCTTGTAAGAGGAATGTCTCCTTGGTCACGTGTTTAGAGAAGTCTTCCACCTTCAAGAGAAAATAGTAGACTTAGATGTTGTTTTTTAAAAGCAAACATGCCAAGTTACCATAAAACTAAAGAATCAATGCAAAATGGATACTGAAACAGAGCTCTTTACTTTAATTTTTAGTTGATCTGTCTGTTCCTTTAGTATTTGAGACATCATCTCTCCTTGGGTAATTTTGGGCAATGAATTAGAAGCATTTAGACTGCACAGTTCTACTGTATGAGTTGTTGGAAATGCAGATGCTGTTTTCCCACATGGCAATCCTATGTAATGAGAAAATGTATTAGCTGGACTTCTTTCCAAAACTTCTACCCAAAAGTGCTATTGATTTACTTGAAATGAGTTAGGTATTTGCACTTACTTGGTTCAGACAAACCATGTGAAGGCTGCAGGACAGAAGTGTCTGCTGTAGAGGCTTCAGGGGCTGTTCCAATGTCTCCTGAGTAAATGGCAAATCCTGCATTTGGAAAACCTGACTGAGGCAGTACCTGTCAAAGGGAGAATCATGGTTTGAGGAAGAAGCATGCAGAATGCTCTGCAGAATAAAAAGTTAGGAAATGCATAGGACCACTTTCCAAAGTTAATGGGAAGTTGGTTGGTTATAACTGTATCATGTAATTTGCTTTGACTTCGGTTTGTGTATCTCATAGTGTATATACTGAAATATGCAACTTGGGTTATGAATCTGTATTTAGACAATTTGTGTAAAGGGGAAGTATATTATAAAGGTGACAGGAAAGTTCTGATGATTATTTGGAGTCATAGAAATAAGAATGAATTTAGGTTTCTTTAGAGGACTGATTGTATCTCAGAAAATCAGTATGATTCTTGATGTCAGCAAGCTGTGTTCACATTTCAATGTACCATCAAGAAGTAATAGGGAAAAGTATTAGAAGTTGTTCCATCCTGAACAGTTTATGAAGGGATAAGCCTAGGAAAGGACTTAAGCATCTGTTTAGCTCTGGAGTGAACTCAGTGGCAGGGCATGACAGTAAGAAGTGATTATCTAATTACCAACAAATCTTAACAGGAAGTTACTACTGTAAAAGAAATCTTAAAATTTGTTGTAAGACAGATCTTGTTATAGAGCAAAACCTTCAGAAACAAAACAAAAAAATCCTGACCTTTCAGTGAATGCTGGCCTGAATAGCTGAAGAGTGTAAGTCTTTAATGTAAAAACAGGCACAGGATTAAAGATATTTTAGGAAATTCCCATTTATATTATTTTTAGTGAATGAGAACATTTTCATATAATACTGGAATTAACTGCTTATAGTGGATTTCCTGGTGATTTACTACAATGCTTTGCCGTCAGGAATAACATGAGAGAGCATCATAAATTTGGTAATGAAATCTCCGTAGAGATTATGTCCCACAGAACTTTGTGGAAATGATTACTGGCTGAAGTGGTACACATCACTCTTGTTTTAAGAAATTCTCAATTTATTAAATTATCCTAATTACCTTTTGTTGTTGGGACGATTCTGGAATGCTTGTTCCTTCCTGATTTGTGACTTCAATGGAATCAAAACATTTCTGATTTTCTAGAATGCTGTTAATGGTTACTGATTTACTTAGCAATGTAGGGAAGGATGTTGTTCTTTTAATGGTGGGAATGGATTTATTATTTTCACTCATTTTTGGTACTTTCATTTCTGAAGTGACTTCATTACTGTCTTCCTGACACTTCTGAGCTTCACCTTGGCCCGCTATGAGCTCATGAGATGGAACTGATTTCTTAAACACGTATGTCTGCTCTGTGTTTTGAAAGATACGTGCATCTTCATACTCATTAATCAACAGCAAATTTTCTTGTCTGCACCCATGCTTAGCAAGAGTAGAAGTAGAGGCTTTTGAAACAAATGTGTTTTTACTTAGCAAATCCTGAATTTTCCCTTCAGTACTCACTGCTTTCAGCTTTTCTAAGTGGTGCTCTTCAAACTTGGCTGCCTGTTGTTCACCTGTCGAAGGGCCTTGGACGCATTCACAAGCTGTGTGCTTGTTTGTGGTTTCGTCAATGCTTTCAGTCAGGGATGTTTCTGGTATAGTCTCATGTTCAATCAACTGCCATTTGCTCGTTAACTCTCCTGTAGGGAAATGGCGCAGAAGGACATGGGACATACTGGAGTGACTTGGAGGGTCTCTGCCATCTGGTTGACCACACCAGCTGTCCTTTTTAAAGGACAGTTCACTTCCAGGTATTCCAGCTGAAATTCCACTTGTTCCTATGGTTCCTTTAGCATAGTTAAATACACCTTCAGGTTGTACATAAATCTCATAACTTGATGCATTTCTGTTATCCTCAGAAAGAGGTAAGTTTAAAGCATCAGGGATGTAAGTGCAGTCATTCAATTGGTCTGACTTGCCATGGTGTTCACAGGCTATTCCCCCATCTCCATCACAAGGTAGGTCATCTTGTTCTGCATCAGTCGTGTCTGTGACACAGTGTAACTCATTTGGAATCGAGCACTCATTTGGGTTTCCATTCACTGCTGCTCTGTTCTTCTTTACTGCCTGCTCACCCCCTCTGTGGGCCGAATGAACGGCATCGTTCCTCTGTTTTTTGGGGATAGAGCTTCAATTAGAGCATGGATTGAAATCCATCAGGGATGAGTAGGAATTACTGTATATTCAATACAGTTCCGAGTACGACCTGCTTTTTTAGGCCAGTGTGGCTGTTTCGGAGCTGTGCCGTGGATTCGGGCTGGCGGCTGGGCAGAGATGGTGTGGGTGCGGTGCTGCGGGGACAAAGAGGAAAAGGAGAGCAGACTGCAGTGCAGGTAACTGCTGGCTATTCTTTCCCCTCGAGCGCAGCAGCGAAACCTCTGGTAACCGGAGCCAAGGCCGGTAACGCAACTCGCGCTACAGCAGCTCTGTAAGAACGCGCTCTCCGCCGCGCCGCTCGCCGCCCGCCCACCGTTATTCGATTGATTTCTCATCGCCCCCCAGCCCACGCGCGGTGGATGAAGGTAGCAGAGTAACGCGCGGCGCCGTGAGCGGCAGCAGTGTTCGACTTCGCCTACCTGCCGGCAGCGGAGGCAGGAGGACGTAACCTCACAACCGAGAGGCGCCGCCCCGCGCCTTTCCCCGGCCTCGCGCACACCCGCCGGGCTCGCCGCCTATCTGGCGGTGCCTGCGCCCGCCAGCGGCTCCCATTGGCCGCTGTGAAAGATGCGACTTTCCGCCGCGGGCGGCCTCCGCGCGTGCGCGTAGCGCCTGGTGCCGCCGTCCGCCCCGCCTCGGGGACGCGCGGGGCCGCGCGGCGATTGGCGGGTTCGAAGCACGGCTGCGCGTGGGCGGTGCCCCCCGCCGCGGCGGTCGCTGTGGAAACTGTGCCGGCGGCGCGCGGCCCGCAACGGAGGCGCCAGGTGAGGCGCGCGCGGCCCCGAGGGGTTTCACGGCCGGGGGCAGGGGGAACCCGGCGCCCGTCGGCGCCCGTTGCCGGGCCCGGCGCTGCGGGGGGGGCGCGCGAGCCCCGCACGTATGCGGCACCGCCGTGCCGGGGCAGAAGCGGTGCGGCCTCCGACACGTCGCGTGCCCGCAGGCGGCTGGCGAGGCGTGCAGCGAGCGCGCGTGGAGCTGCTGGGAACCGCGGCTGGACGTCGAGTTGCACCGCAGCCCTGGCGCCGCCTTCCTCCGGCGGTTCGCCCGGGGGCTGCGGTTCCCGTCGGCTGCTGCGGCCCGGCTTCGCGCGGGGATAACGGGCCTCCCGGGGTCGGTCTGTGCCTTCCGCGTAAATGCCGGTCTCGTTAGAGCCGGAAGCACAGCCGATGTCATCTTTTCGACGTGGTCCTTACCGAGTCTTTGTTTGCACACACGTTGCTATGATTTAGAAGCGCTCTATCGGCTCGTGGCAGCCTTCTGCTGCGCTGCTTCCATCCGTGGTTACGTTGGCACGGCGGTTCCACGGCCCGCTGGAGGAATGGACTTTGTGCCTTCAGTTACTGCTGAGCTTACACAAAACCTGCCCGAAACTTGAGCCGGCTTCATTGCTCCTGAACGCACCGCTGTGGTGCTCGTCGTAATGCTCTTGTTTGAGAGCTTCTTGCAATTGTATATTCCCGTTGCTCTTGCTGGAGAAATACAGCAGAACTTGATGCTTGGAGCCTAAAACCCTAATTTTTTTAAAGATATTGATGGATATCTCAGCATTTTCTTCACGTGCTGTCCCTGTCACTTGGCTCAAATTGCTGTCTCCCTCCTCTCTTCCTTTTATTCCTTTTGCTGTCTGAATTATTTAAAGACTGGCACATCTGAGTGTGCTGAATAGCAGTGTGCAGGAATACAGGAGATCTGATTCTTCTGATATACTGAAAAGGAGATCAATGCAGTTTTGGAAATGAATTCTATCTCTTTGTTGGCAAAATCTCTTCCTAATTTGCTAGGACTATTGTTGTCTATTCTTGTGTTGTTTTGCCAGCAAATGACAGCTGATTTTTCTAAGCCACTCGGGTCCCCATGTGCATTATGGAGAGCAGCTTTCATTCCCCACAAGTTAGAAGTCGTGTTAATAAATGTGTTGGTTTTTTTAAAAGTTAATGAGATCTGTCAGTATTTTCAATTGTGTCTGTGCTTAATTTATTACATTTAATAACAAAGTTATTTGTACTTTCCACTTGCTGTCATTCCTGTTTTTGGTAGCAGCTGCACAGTCACTTTTGCTCTGCACGACTTTGTCATTCATGCTCAGATCTGTTTTTTAGTAGTCCTTATCAGTAACGTATCAGTGACATAATTTGTTTCACAAGTACTGATCTTAGGACCTGGTGAGAGATGAAGCTGTTACGGCTGTTACCATTCCCTTGAAGGAGAGAACAGAAAGGTATCAGATGAAGGAAGAAACTCTTTTCTTTCATTTAGGCACTCAGTCAGAAGTTAGCTATGTGAATGAGTGCATCTAAAATAGGATACTGTGTTGTTAAAGATCACAGTGTTGGGAGTGTAAAATACCAGAAGAACCTGGTGGAAAAAAAGCCTGGTGAGAGGTGAGAGGTGGTCTGAGATGTGTGTGACATTGAGCAGATGGTCAGTGGCAGGTTGCCTCTTAGTGCTTGACATGTGTTCTTGTTCAGATAATAGAACTTCTGCTATAAACCATCATTAATATGAAGGGGAAGCTTTCGTGCCGCTGAGCCATAGGGGAAAAACATTATGTGGTCTACCACAGGGCTCCTCCAAGTCTTTTAATTTCTTCGCTCTTTTTTCTGCCACTGTTCTGCTGTTGTGCTGCTCATAATTCAGTTCTGTATGCAGTGCCTCGTGGCTCTGTTACCCAGCAGCCCCTGGTTGTGGCTGGGCAGCGTGCGGGATTTGTGTGGCAATGTGTTATTGAGTTTGGGTTCAGCTGTGGGCAAAAGAGGCAGAACAGAGCTGAGCAAAGTGGAGCACGTTGTTAGAGACATTTGAGATAAACACTCTCCATCAGCTTAAGTACAACATTTTCTGTGGAATGTTTCCCATCTGGTGCTCCTTGGCAGCCTGTAGCATTTAGCGGTGTTTGAGTGACTGCCTGGGCTGGGAGAGGCCTGATGTCCAGCACTGGCATGGTGAAGTTGTCCTGGCAAGCAAGAGTGAGATTCAGATGTGAAGTCTGGTAACTCAGAGCTAGGACACCCAGCAACTCAGTTTTTGCTGTTCTTCAAGGCAGAGAGAAGATATTACTCCAGCATTTCGCACTGAAAATCTCATTGCACGTAGAATTGTTCCTTGTTTCCTGACTAGTTTTATTATAAGGATATTAGATCTGTTATGCTGCAGGCACTTTGTCTTCTCTTCCTTTTGTATATTGCCATGGTGGGGGCTTGCCTTACGTGACCTACTTGCAGAACTGTCCTTAGAGTTATAATGGTTACTTGTGCCCACTTGTGTTAGCTCCTTGCACGCAGGGCGGCAGGTATTTAGCTGTTTACAGATAAATATTATTTCATAAAGGGAAATTCTGTTCTGGGAGAGAGGTGCTGAGAGCTCCACCTGAACATTGCTGTTTCTTACACTCAGGTGTCAGTGCAGTACGTGCAGTACATGTGCGTTGGCTGCTGCTCTGCATTCCTTTGCCTGCTGTAAGTATATGTACTGGTTGTTCTATTTGTTTTTGTCAGCAGTGCGTTCTCGGCCTGTAAGTTACTGTATAGCTTGCATCATTGCAAGATGCCTTAAGCATTTCTCTTTACAAACCTGTATTACTGATGAATGCCTCATAGGGCACTTCCTCACTTACTGCAGTTAATAGTTGGCTTGGAACCACAACAGTACTCTGATGAACACATCAGCAATGAGGAGATGTTGGTTTTTCTCACTCATGTATTGCATTGTCCTAAGTGCCTGGCATTTCTTTCTGCTGTTGGTGAGTGATCCTGTTAAAAGGAATGCATTTGTATTGCAGTGTGATTGTTGAGTGAAAATAAGGCGAAAAATTGGTGTGTAAAATTGGTGTGAGTAGAGATAATACATTCTGTCCAGAAATGTGAACGTTCCTTAATTACAAGGTTTTGTGTTTTTTTTTTTCCCTTTAGCTTTTGCCATCATGTGGTTTTCTCTCACTGCAAAGCATCTATGCGGTTTTTATGCATGGTTTGGGTGCTTCACAGGGAAGGAAAATAAAATAACACTTAAGAATGTGGATGAGCTTCCTTCTGACTCAGACTGGGAAAGTGCTTCTGGATTCAGTTATTGGTGTTTCTGTTTTTTATGACCTGGAAGAAATAACTTGGGTCATTGAGATTCTTGTTGTTGTTGTTGTTGTTTTGTTTGTTTGTTTTGTTTTGTTTTTTAGGACTGATCATTGTGAGCGATACTGAAAGTAATGCTAGGCAGTGCTTACTTGTTAAAGAGATGTTTGCACAGCCCTTTAATGATAAAGAGAAAAAATGAAGTGAAAGAATACGTGGGGTTGAAAAGGCTTGCCATATTGCAGATCTTGAGCATTAAAGCTGCAAACTCGATTATGTAAACTAGGTACAGCACAAACATGAAGGGAAATTTAACTACTTCTAATCCATGAAATAGATAGAAAGTATATAGAGATAATGCTAGAGGGCATGTGGAAGTGCTCCTCGGGTTTGCTTAGCCTTTAACATAAAGTTGTATGAACCAGGCTGTCTGTTGTGTTAGGCCAAAAAGGGCTGTATGTGGAGGAAGAGTGAAGAGGGATTGTTGTCCAGGAGAGGGCCTGGAAGAACCCAGCTTCCTCTGCCTTGGATTGGAACGCACCGCGCAGCATGGTCAGTTGTGTTTAGGTAACCAAAGAATGTAAAAATTAGATCAAGCTTGTTTAGAAATAGGGCAGCAAATTAAGCGTCTCCACTGTTACCGTGTTTGTCATAATGCAGCACTGTGTTAGCAGTTACATAATCGATGTTGGACTCTGCTCTGGAGCTGTGTCCATGCTTTCATTTTCAGCTGAGGGTGCAGTGTGATCCCCACTGCGTTGTGAGCAAGCTTTGTCTCAGTCATGCTCGCTACCTGTTGTTTTTTGTTTGGTTGGTTTGTACTATCTTGAGAGTTAGGAGGATCTTCTTGCTTGGATATTTTTTAAGCTTATTAAAAATAAAATTGTGCATTAATATAATCAATTATTATTTAGTCTTGTAAAGTAATTGTAGATTTTTATGGAATATTTGTTATTTATTTTTCCTACCGATACTCAGTGTTTTCAGTAAAGCTGTTTTCCAGTCCTACTTTGGGCTGTCCTGGGCATCCTGGCTCTTGGTTATCGCTGCAACTTTCTCCCCCTGCAGCCATGCTGAGTTAAGTGTGTGGACGAAAGCCCTTTTTGTCCTTTACGGTAATGTAGCACTAGGAACAGGCTGGGGGCAGAAGATGAAATCATTTTATAGATCAAGGAGTCAAAGTTCTAAGCCTCCCTATTGTAATCCTGTTCTTTTGATTCATACAAGGTGGTTAGCCATGGGTCATTCAGTTGTAGCCATGAAATACCTCT